TTATTGGTTTGGTTTGTAGTCTGGACATAGTAGAAGATGTGGGATGCAACGTGCAGTCATAACTCAAGAACTGTTTCTGCACTTGCTGCACTGAAATTCACAAATGTGATAAGAACAGGTTTGTTCAGAGGGTCTTAGGCTAGGTGGTTGGGGAAAGGAGAGTAACAGATTTACTTGTAAGAGAGAAGCTGTCTTGCACATGTTGGGGTTGATAGAGGAAAATTAGGCAGCCATTCAATGATCATGAGAAGAGTGAGACAAGCCAATCATATAGGGGCAGGAACCATGTGACCCACATGTATGGAAAAATCTGCTGTCACTTTCAGTGGTTTGGTTGTCACTGCTATAGTCTCTGCTGTTTGCAAGTTCTCATGAATTTGTGATGCTTTTATGGCAGGTGCTAAAGCAAACAGAGATTCCTGGGGACTGCACAGTTCAGCACCCTTGAAAGGAGAAAAGGGAGACAGAGGAGCTCCAGGACCACCAGGTATCCAAAATTCTAAACAGAAATTAAGAAAATTTTCTCTTCTGTGCTGGCTTATCCACCATGAACATCTATTCCTTTCCAGGTTCTGTATTGAATGTAAATTAATGTATCACAAGTATTTTTGCCTATACCTGATGATTTCAGGTGCTTCATAGGGAGAGGATTATGAGATGGTTATTCTTATAATCTTACTGTAAAACTGCAGCTAGTGAAGGTTGGCAAAAATAACACAAGAATTCTGGTTAGACTGAAGACTAATTCACCTTTCAGCTAAAATAACAGAGGTTTATTCATTTGTTTGCCGACCAAATCAAATAGATTAGCTAGCTTCTATGTTTTTCAAGTTCAAGCATGTTAACTATGACCAATACTGTTGCTGCTCTAAAAATATTCCTGTTTGGTTCTTGCTTATTGATGTAGTTGCTAAAATATCTTTCATACAAACCAGTTGTCTAGGTCTCACAGATGTCCACATAATCATTGACAGGGAAAATTCACAAGCCAGAAGTTGCATTATAGAAGTACAGGAATCTTTTCAAAAACCTTTTTTGAGATGCAGGCGGCAGAAACTCTTTCCACTACAATATCTGTTGAGTTTCAGCAACCAGAAACCTTTCTGATCTGTCATATTTGTCCATGCAGTGGATTTATTTTTAATTCTTACAAAATGTCTCCTCTCAGACCTTACAAACAGGGTCTATTAGTCGAGACCATGCAAACATATGAGGCCAGCACAAAAAGTCGGTAAATGGCTGGCTGTGCTTTATTTAGCTACTTCATATAGAGGCAGGTGTAGTAACTATCCAGAGCACAGGTGCTGTGCTCCAACCTCATGTACAGTGCTCAAGCACAACCCCAGTTTTTCTGGCTGGAGGAACACAGTCTGGAACCTTCAAAGAAAACACATTTAGAAATATACAAGAGCTTCTTTTCTGTATGGAGGAGATTCTTTGTGAATCCTGGAAACAATGGAGCTAAAGGAAAATCAGTGAGGTGAAGCAAGATGGCTTCTTGCTGGGCAAGCATTAGGTGTGGTAAAAGTGAGTTCTCTTGCTCCAGGGACCAAGTCAATTTCTAGGGCAGACTGCAGGTGTGAAAGCAGTGTAGCTTCACATTTTCTAAAAGAAAGTTCACCAAAGATCTATGACTTTATGATTGTTGGGAGGGCATGATTTTGCCATTGATTATGCACATGCAAAGTGCTGTTAGCACTTAGTCCATGCAGCAACATCTGAAAACAAAGAGAAATGAAAATGTCTGGTCTACCAGCAGAAGCCACTCAAAAAAGTATGTTTCCCTCTGGCTAGTGCTAAGATCCCTAAAGGTCCTGCCAAAAATTACCTACCAGGCCTCTACTGAATGTCTACAGAAGAAAGGTGAAGTAGGTTTGCCCTTTGAGAAGCCATGTCAGTCAAACTTCTCTGGCTGTCTGTACTAACTAACTAAACTCACATGGGCTTCATGTAACTTGTTCAGGCCTAGTCTGCTTCCTGGTCATTCTATGAAGACCACCTACCATTCCATTCCACCTCTCCATCCCCTTCCCCTCACATGGATCACTGCAGAAAGCTGTAACTGGTGGGGTTGGAATAAAATCTAAATAGCTGCCATATCGGGAATACATTTCTGTTCCACAGTGCAGATGTACAAAATGTCTGCTTGACTTAATTTTATCTGAGGTGACATGCTGAGATATGAGCCCTATGGCTGGACCCAAAGATCTCAGAAATTAATCAGAACACATTTGAGGAAAATGCATTGAACTGTTATGGACAGCTGTAAAATAGTTTGAGAGTTTTTTTCCAAGTCTATGCCAAACAGATAATATTTGAAGGCTTTTTAGACTTTTTGTGCTGGCTTGACGGCTTTGGCTGACCACCATTGGCAGACAACGCAACACAGGTGGTGTAACCATTGAATCTGATATTGGTTTTCATTGCAGAAAAATGTCAAGGAACAGTTATTATACAACCAGCAGCACGGCAGCAACACCATGGCTTTCTCTTATCAGCTATGGTACTGTCTTGGCATGAAAGACCACACAAGTACTGATGGATCACCACACTACCAGCAAAACATATGAAAAACTTCTCTTTTACCTTGGTTTCCATCAAAGGGGTTAACTTGAATGCTTTTCTTTCACCCCTCTTCCGAGCTGCTATGTTGTCAGAAAACAGAATATTTCATATTTGAGCCTTCTTTTTTGCTGATTTATCTGAAATTCACAGTCAGATTCAGAAGTTATTAAGGTAGAGGAGTGACATAGGGCATGTAAGTCTTGCTTTGTTAGGAAACCAAACTAAAAATATCTGTTTGATTTAAAGGTTAATGCTATTAGTGTAAATAGTTTTCCTTTAAACTCCTAAACCAATAATACCCTAAGCAATGCTTTTAAAAAGAAAATTACAGTTAATTATCATATTTTCTTCATTTTTCAGGTCCACCTCTGCCTCCATCATATTTCAGCCACTTTATTAATAGCATAAAGGTAATTATATCCCATTTGTGTTTGAGGTCTATTAAGTTTTTTTAAAACGTGTACTTTACTATAAATTAAGCATAAAACAGTGTAACATAGTGAAATGCAAAAAACAGATAAGAACAGCAACAGTTACAAATTATATTAATTTCTTAAACTCCAGCTGCATAGGCAGGTTTAATTCAAGCATAGAGATGTCCATTGTCAGTAGTATATAAAGATTACTTTTGAAAAAAACTTTATTACTGAAATAAACTTTTTTACTGAGGCTTTTTACCTTCCCAGTGGTATTAAAGTGAGTCATAATTCACTGTTACCTAACATATCTGCCTTAAATGAATGCTTTTGTTTCCATGCCAGCTCAGGTAAGAGACATCCATTACCTAATGGGCTCCTAGAACATTGGGCAGGGGGGCTGGGGAGCGTGGAAATCACTTCCATGTCATGCTATTTATCTTTTAAGCACACTGAATAAAATCAAATTATGGAAACTACTTTTCCTGGAAGCTTTTACAACAAAGATGTATCTGGTCTCTCTCTGTTCTATTATTCTCCTGATTGCTTCAAGTGGCTTAAAAAATGAATAACAATATGATACTATTTTAAATGTTTTTAAGTGAACAAGGGTCTTTATCAGTAGAAGATTTGAAAAAAATTGAATCAAGTTATCACTAAATGATGCCTCCAAAAGTGGTGTGCTGACAGTCTCCTTGAAGGACTCTTAAGTGCTGTCTGGTTTCTGGATTTTGTTTCTGCTTGGTGGAGTGCACCTAAGATTCCTATGATATAAAGTTCCCCATGTATGCATGGCAAAGCGGGTATGGCTTCTTTGACCTTATAGTGTAATGTCTGTAGCTTTACAGCATTAGTTGCAAAGAACTCATTTTTCATTTTCCAAAATGGCCTGCCGTACAGAAAGCTTTAGTCCTGTTTACTGGGATACTAAAAGGACTAAAAGTTGGAGAAGGAGCTGCACACATCCATCTCCTCTGGCTGTCTACAGATACCTGCCATTCTTGCTTTGTCGTTTGCCTCTTCTATTCAAAGGTTTATATCTCAGAGATGTGAAACAAAGTAGGCAAAAAAAAATGAAGGAAATAAACCATCAGATAAACGAAGGGGAGGAAGGAATGTACGACTGCTGTGGTTAATTTTGCACAAAGAGATAATGGTTTAGTACTTAAATGCTTCTTCTCACCCATTGTTTCCCAAACGAACTGATAATCAGCGATGGAGGACAGAAGACATACAGTTCAATGTGTCTGCAATTTTATGTGGTGTCTGTTTTGTTTTCCTGGTACACATCTCCACCCACCTCTCTCATCATATGCACTGTAATCTTCACTTTACCACATACATTCAAATACCTCTTTTCCATGTCAATCTTGCTTTGCTTTTTCCTTCATGGTGGAGAAAAGCAGAAAGCCAGGCTTTTATGCTTCCTTCGACTTCCTCTTTGCCTTCAGCTACAGCACAGAACAAGGTTTTGCCAGGAAAAATATCAGGAAACAGCAACAGAGGCATTTTCTCTGCCTCCACCTAACCCCACCTCTCCTAGCCCTGAGAGCCTTTCAGCCTCGATAGAGAAAGCGTTCCTTTTCATCCCATATCACAGAAGAAGGATGTTAAAAAGATTTCATGCGGATGCTTTTCTTTATTAAGCTCGGAGATTTCATGTAACTTTAAAAGATCAGTTGTTACTGAGAACACAGCTGCGATGGGCAGGGCACGTCTCCAGGATGAAGGACCACCGCCTCCCTAAGATCTTGCTTTACGGTGAACTTGCCACTGGCTGCCGCATGAGAGGAGCCCCGAAGAAAAGATACAAGGACTCCCTGAAACAGCATCTCAGCCTTGGTCATATTGATCATCATAACTGGTCTACTCTGGCCTCAAATCGGGAGGCCTGGAGACACACCATCTATAACGCAGCTGTCTCCTTCGAGAACACACGCAGGATCACTCTTGAGGAGAAAAGGCAACGCAGAAAGAACCGTGTATTGCAGAATACACCATTTAAGGAGTCTTTCTGCTGTGCCTTTTGCAATCGGATATGTCTGTCACGTATTGGCCTCATAAGCCAGCAGCGTGCCTGTAGCAAATGTGGATAGAGCCTTCCCAAATCTTCGTTCGCAAAGCCCAGCCATGATGAAAAGATCAGTGCATTGAGTTCTGATCTCAGCTCAATGTTTTAAAATATTTTATCTTTAAAGGGTGAAAAAGGAGACAATGGAGTCACTGGTGTAAAAGGAGAAAAAGGAGAACCAAATGGAGGGGGTTTTTTGACAGGACCTCCTGGACCACCTGGAAGACCAGGATTAGTTGTAAGTCACACGAATTGTAGAATAGGAATATTTGTGAGTACCCATTGTTTTAATTTAGAAAGCACTAAGAAGAGACAAACATCAGGATGATACTAAGAACTATAGAAAAACTCATATGCTAAGCATTAGGAGAATGTTGCATTAAGTGTAAGCATACACACTTCACTGTTGTGCACAGAATTAATTTGCTATGAAATATTGATGTAACGCTGTGCTCGTCTGTCTAATATAACTACCTCAGTATGTAGATCATGCTATAACAGCATTACAAATCAAAGAAGCATATATAATTTTTGATGCTACTAGTTATATTACCATAAATGCCAAAATAGGCCATATAAAATTAGTCAGAGGCTGACTTGAAAATTATTGGCCACCTAAATAATTAATCTTATTTTCCTAGTAATCCAAAAATATGAATGAAAAGTCCAGTGTGTACCAACCTGGATCATTCCTGTGAAATTCAGCCACTTTTTGAAGGTGGTCTTGTTGTGTTAAATTAGCAAGACCACCTTCAAAAACCCCGCTGGAGCTAGTCCACATTGCTGAGAACCATCTCCCTGGTTAAAATTTTCTTTTTCCATTATATCCATGCCTCCTTGAAGAAAATTACACACAAACTCATGTCTAAATGGCAGTGTACTGGCAGGCATTCAGAAAATGTTGCCACCAGAGATCATGGCCCTGCAGTAGTGAAACCAATACATTCAAGGAAATACTTTTCATCGCCTACAGGGACCAAAAGGAGACTCAGTTGTTGGACCCAGAGGACCTCCAGGGTTACCTGGCTTACCTGGCTTACCAGGTTATGGAAAAATTGGACCTCCTGGCCCACCTGGCCCACCTGGCCCACCAGGACCCCCTGCAATATATGGTTCAGGTGAGCTTTTCACTGTATAAGCACGTGTATAGCCATGTGCCCAGACCCCCCTGTGACCAATTCCTTCACACCTGGCAGGATATCCCACCTGCCCACTCTCTCTGCATACCTGAATCAGGTTGTTTCCCACTCTCCTCCCGCCCTACACTGATTTCTCCTGGGGGGTGAGTTGGAACTGAGACAACGAAAGGGACAATTTCTCTGCAAACAGTTTTCACTAGCTAGTGCCATGGGGAGTGCTGTAACATGAAAGATTTTACTGTAGCTGTGTTTGTGGCTGGGAGGAAATCTGCATAATAGAGACAGGTTGCCTTGAGAGCTTTGCAAAATCCATCAAATTGAGCAGTTGCCTAAATCTGGGCCAAACCACTCTTCTTGTGCTGAATGGACTTGAATGAAGCTGGTGGCTGTCACAAGTGGTTTTCCCCAGGGCTCAATATTGGGTCCAGATCTGTCTAATATCTTTATCAATGATCTGGGCAAGGGGATCAAGTGCACCGTCAGTCAGCTTGCTTCCAAGTTGGGCAGGAAAGTTGATCTGCTGAAAGGCTCTACAGAGGGACAGACTGGATCAATGGGCCAAGGCTAGTGGTATGAGGTTCAACAGGGCCAAGTGCCAGATCCTGCATTTGGATCACAACAGTCCCATGCAGCCCTACAGGCTTGGGACAGAGTGGCTGGAAAGCTGAACAGTGGAAAAGAACTTGGGGGTGTTGGTTGACAACTGCTGAACGTGAGCCAGCAGTGTGCCCAGGTTGCCATTGGCCAATGGCATCCTGACCTGTACCAGAAATAGTGTGGCCAGCAGGACCAGGGCAGTGATTGTCACCCTGTATTTGGCACTGGTGAGGCCACACCTCAAATATTGTGTTCAGCTTTGAGCCCCTCAATTCCAGAAGGACACTGAGGTGCTGGAGCAAGTCCAGAGAAGGACAGTGAGCTGGTGAAGGTCTGGAACACGAGTCTGATGAGGAGCAGCTAAGCGAGCTGGGGGTGTTTAACCTAGAGAAGAAGAGGCTCAGGGGAGACCTTTTCCCTCTCTACAACTACCTCAAAGAAGGTTGTAGCCAGGTGGGAGTTGGTCGCATATTCCAAGTAACAAATAACAGGACAAGTGGAAATGGCCTCGAGTTGCAGGAGGGGAGGTTTAGATTTGATATTATGAAAAATTTTTTCATCTAAAGCACTGTAACATGCTTCCCTCGAGTGTAACCATGGTACCTGGGGACGTGGTTTAGTGGTGAACTTGGCAATGCTGGATTAATGGTTGGAACTGATGATCTTAAGGGTCTTTTCCAACCCAAATAATTCTCTAATTGTCTGTTAAAAAACAGTACCCACAGTAGTCTAGAATGAGACTGCTGGAGAACTGCTACTAAAAAGTAGTTCCTACACAAATGCTGAATAGAAACGAAACTTTGGGAAGGTTGGTTGCTCTACCTTTAATGGTTGTCAACTTAATGGATTAGAAAAGGAGCAAAATGTGCCGTAAATAGTCATATCAGGAGAAGAACTTTGCAAACAAGGTGGTATTAAAGGGAGTATGTGGCTATAAACCAAGTGTCACAGTTCAAGACATTTGTGCTTTTGACTCCTTTTGGGTCACAAGTTTGCTAGTGACAAGCCTCATACTATTAATGGCCCTTAGATTAGGTTCTGGTGGATGGGGTCCTGGACTCCTCTGACGTTACTTGATAGGTCTGCCTGAGTGAATGACTGATTCCTCCCTCTAGGAACTGTGCCCAGCATGGGAATCTAGCCAGGTAAAACCAGAGCAGAGCATTCCTTAATCTCAGCTGAAAATGTTATACTAATAGGAAGGGAATTTTTAAGTAAATTGAGAGGCTGTAACACAGATCTGTTCTTCTTAAAGTTTGGTAAGGTCTTGTGAATACTTCTCTGCATTCCTGAGAACTAATGATCAGCTTGTTTTCCCACAAGACCTATGAGTATGCTAGTTTGGGGAGAAGATATCTCTGTCTCCAGTTTGTTCTCTCCAAGTATTTTGTGAACCTGGTCAGCCTGGTTTATGCAGCAGGTATACTGGAGACTTCCAACCTGTCATCCAGTAAATATTAGTAATTTAGTGTCTGTCAGAATTATTCATCCTCAGAATAATATTTGAGAAAGAAAAAAAAATCCTTAATATGTCCAACCTTGGAACATAGGCTTTATCTGAATCACGATCATCATGATATGGACAGGTCCACAGCATCCATGAAGTCAATAAAGGCCTTCAGGCCTTCTGCTGTGTAATTTATATTAAGCACTTTTGAATATTTGCTATGAGACCCAGTCAGACAAAACAAATTATTATTAGTATCCCATCTCTATACTTTCACTTATCCTCTCTGCCATTAGTCTTCATCATCTTCCTACACATTTTCCTCTTTGCTTTGTTAAAAGCTTCTTTAGGTAGCACACTGATGAATATTCGTTTTACTAAACGTTAACACAAATGTTTATTTCTTTTCTGTCTTCAAGGTTCAGTTATCTCTGTTAAAGCTCTTACTATCTGTAATAGGGGGTTCACATACTGTAGTATGGGGTTCCCATATTTTAATATGGGGAAGGAGGAGTAGCTTATCTGCAGGTGAATAGCTCTGAACACTACTAAGAACTGAACCCCTTTCCCCTGCTCTTGGCTTGAAGGACCTGCTCTGCAGTATCTTGGTAAATGCCTCAGAGCATAGATTCTTCAGTTTGTAAAAGGTGATTTCGAGTCTCCTCTGGGATTCACAAAAACAAACAAGCAAGGTCAGTGTGTAGAAGCTCTTTCTTCCAAACAGCTTCCAAGTTCTGATATCATGCCATGCATTTGCACAAGATGCTTGCTTTCACTCTTGCATATCTTTCAGTCTTTCCTACCTTAAAAGAAAGAAGTTTTTACTCCAAAAAACAGGGACTTCTCAGCTCAAGGTGAAGAAATTCAGTTTTGGAGTAAAGACAGGTACTAGTTATTAGATGGACTGCAGTCTTAGAAGTTCAAGTTCATACCCCTGAATAATTCTTTATTGCTTTGAAACATAAGCTGAGCTTACAAGTGATTTTTTTATCTAAGGAAAAGTATTTTTTTATTTACTTTTATAGCAAAAGATATAACGATGCCTTCCAAGTTTATATGGGCAGGAACTAAAAGTTCTTCCTCTTCCATATGCACATCAGCAGCAGCTTGCGGAACAGCATTCTGGTCAATTTAAGTGGGTCTGGCTCTTCATTTGCAAAGTTTCTATGACAAATTGCAATCAAAAATTTGGCCTTAACCTCCCAAATAACAGAGAAAAGATTGTTTTATCCTTGCTTTTAAAAAAATCCTTAGAAGGCATTTTCTGTAGTTGACTTGAACACAGCTATTCAGGACTTGACTATGGCTATTTAAAACCTCTACTGCTCCTAGACGTCACCACTAAGTCCTTTCTTTATGTCACTCACATTCTCTCTCACAAAACATGTCCTTCAACATGTATTCTGTGCTTGTTTTATTTTAGCAGCTGCAATGCCTGGGCCACCAGGTCCTCCTGGAGAGCCAGGGTCACCTGCCACCAGGAATCTGGTAAGAAACAAAATAAAGAAGTTGCTATATTGAAAGCTTTCATCAAATCTTTCGGTGATCACCAGTAGCACTGAAAGAAGAGTGAAAGTTCCATCCTGTGTTTTTGTTTACTAGATTGTTTTATGAACCATGTAATTTTTAGCAGGGAATCCATATAGCTGAGAAAAGGGATGAGAGGAGAAATCCGTCCCTTGCCTTGTTATAACAACCTATTCAAATAAATGCAAAGATTGGTGGCATGCTAAAGTTGTGGAATGTTATATATTCCATGTTCAAAACAATGTTCAAATCAAACTGAGATACTACGTGAGATGATACAGTGTTGAGATACTAGAATAACTACTGAATGCCCAGTTTCTATGAAAAAACCACTTTGCATTACTAGATTGAAACCCAGTAATATAGGTCATTTGATTCTAAGATGAAAATTGTAGATTTCCCTAGCAAATCTAAAAATCATTGTGCCAGAATATACATATAAATTTGTTTTCTTTTGTTACATCATTAATCAAATCAGAATTGGATCCCAGGTATCCATGAAGAAGAAAAGCCATCTAAGACAGAAGTCTTGGTAATTTCTAAATTAAGATTTCATAGTTCCTGGAAAAAAAAAAAAGAAAGAAAAAAAAGCCAAAAATCTCTTCAAGCTAGCAGAGGGCATTCATTGCAATTGTCGGGGGAGAAACAGATATTCCAAGACTGGTGCCCCAAGGTAGAGGACTGTAGTTACAGGCTACTGTCTCAGATAGGAGGTCCAAGCCCACTTAGGTCAAAATTATGATTAAAAACCAATATGCAAACCTATAGTAGGGCCTGCATTATTCATAAAGCGTTAATATGCATTCTGACACTGAAGAAATGAGAAAGAAATTATACTCAAGTATCGAGAAATTACACTCTCCAGAAACTTGATAAACTACCTGGAATTCTTTTCTGAACTCTGCATTTTGATCTAGGATGCTAAACTGCAGCAGTGCAATGACCTTCACTCTGTACAAAATTAACTTCTGCTGTAGTTCTAGTACAGTCCGCAGAATGATGATGCTGGTACGCCAAAGTAACAAGATATTTATGTTACTGAAGCTTTATGGATTAAATTATGTAAAACTGACTTTATGAGCATTTCCTTCAGAAGAAGCCTTGATATTTATGTGTTCAAATAAGACTTCAGTTTAACAATTTAACTTGCCAAATGTTCTCTGTGTCTGATGAAGTATGTTTTCCTATTTGACAGGTTACAACATTCCAAAACATTGAGGGTATGTTGGAAAAAGTCCATTTTGTAGCAGAAGGTACACTAATCTATCTGAGGGAAACCAGTGAGGTTTTCATCCGTGTTCGAAATGGATGGAGAAAATTGCAGGTACTATTGTACTGCGTCTTAATCTTTTCCAATTCCCTTACTCACAATGGAGTTGTGGGAGATATTTTTACACAGGTGGAGTAGTATGGGTACAAAGATTCCTTTTTTTTTTTTAATTTCGAAGCTCCTGGTGACATGCTTTTGTTTTACTCTTCTTTTTTGGCTCTTTCAGCTTGGTGAGCTAATTCCTATCCCTGCTGACAGCCTTCCTCCTCCAGCCATATCAAGCCATGTAAGTACAAAATATTGAACCATGAAAAACTGAATCTAGATGTGTGATACACTTGGCAGTAGTTGCATGCAGATCACTACACAACATGATTTTCCACTGAGATTTTTTAGTTCAAAATAAACATCCCACCTCTACATAAGCTTGCAAATTGGTTTGCATTGGACAGCCATCTCTTTCCAGTATCTTCTGAGATTCCAAGACTACAGAGGCAAAGCAGAATAAAGTAGGCTGCCAAAAAAACCCAAAACAAAACAAACAAAAACAATCAAACAAACAAAAACAAAACAAAAAACTCAAACCCACAGATTTTGGTTTCATAACACTGAAGTCAGTCATATGAAGCCCTGATCCCCTTCAAGGAAACTCAAACAAGTGTTTCTGAAAGCAGATTTTCTTTAAAAGATTATAGTCCTGTATTCAGTGCACGATAATCAACACCTTCATGTAGCTTATCCCACAGTGTTCAGAGGGTCTATTCTAATGCCTCAATTGTTAGTTAGAACTTGACCCCATTCTGCAAGTTATTGTACCAACCCACATGTGAACATGCTGTCTGTCCCAAAAAATTACAGGAGGATGAAAACCAAGAAGTGGCAAATTGGATAGAGAACAGTATTGTTGGTGACAGGTTAATTGGTCTGCTGAGATAATGAAAGGGCAAAAGAGTGCTAGGAAGGAGCAGTGAGAATGAAGATGGCCAGAAGGAAATAAAAAAGGTTAGAATAGATCAGGGAGAAATTCATTTAGTATACTGGGAAAAATGTCTAGATCTGAAGTTGTAATAAATTGTCTGCAGCCTCCAGTTGACACCACACGAGTTTCTCATGTGGTACAGCCGGTGACTGGTTACTCATACGTACTGTAACTGGAGAAGAAAACTTTGCTGTTCCTGAAACAACTGATATTCCCGCCCACTGCATTTTTTTTCCCACATCCTCCATACCCTTTCAGTTTTGATTTTACTGAACTGCTCTTCTACTCCTGCCAAGAGCAGGCTTCTTCCATGCAGGATTCCAGGTGTGATCCAGCACTAATACCAACTCTGGCAGAGCACTGTGGAATGGGTACATTCGGGTCTAGCAAAGCTACACTGGCGAGGCCAGCTTTTAAACACATGTTTATGTGACACACCAAGCTGATGATATGCAGATAAAGTATTCTGGCTACGTTGTTTGGGGCTATTTTTCAAAGGCAGGACAGTTTTAGGTTCTCCAGTGTTCAATGTTTGCTTTATTTTAAAAGTTATTGAGTGTCTAAAATTCTGATCTCAGTAGTATATTTAACATATCTGTTTGCTTGTGTTCAAATATCAGGGATTTCAGTCCATTCCAGCACTGAGACCAGTATCAAATATGAACAATGGAAAACCAGCAGTAAGTATGAAATCTGTATTGCAACTGCATAGTTGTGGTTTGAAACGTGATAGATTGCATCTTGAGGGAGAGTTGTGATATTTACTCTTCAAATTCAGAGCTTTTACTTTAGAAATTTACAAATACGCTTCTTTATTTTGTTTAGACATCTCAGACACAATTTTAAATTGTTTCCTCTGGATCTATTTTCATCATCCCAGCCCCTTTCCCATCTCAAAGAAAAAGGAATCCTGACTCTGAGTTAGGAATACCTCTTCACTTAGCGATTGTACCCACAACACAGAGTAACTTTTAAGTTAACAGTAGTGTAACAATTAAATAAGAAAAATATTCATTAGAATATTTTCTATCTATGTGGCACTGCTTGTTTTAGACAGGCATTTTAGAACCTAAGCCTTCATTTAAAAGACTTTAAAATATTTAGACAAAGAAAGCAAAGTAACTGAGTTATATTTAAAAAGACTGAAAACAAAAATTAAAAAAAAACAAGAATGTGGATTAGTTCTTGCATCTGTGCTGTTATACTTTAGCATGTTACTTCTTGTATTTTTTAATGGTATATGGTCACTACTTACAACTTTTTTCCATCTTTGTAGAATTTGGGATTTTGTTTGTGTGAAAACTCCAAGACTTCTACTTGAAAATACTAGCTGCTTTTAAAAGAATTTTAATTTTTAGGAGTATATAACCTTCATGATTTCTTTAATATTGAAAGATAAATTGGTATTTCTGCTAAGAGCCTGACAGCTCTGAGAAATGTAATGTTATGGCACCAAATAACTTTCATACCTATTATGGAAGTTACACATTCTATGCTGGCAGGAAGATGGGGCACTGTTTTGTTTACAAAATGTCTTCCTAGTGTTATGATCTTTTTTTTACAATGGTACCTTTTCCTTTTTTTCCTCTAGTTGCATCTGGTGGCTTTGAACTTCCCATTTTCTGGTGACATGCGAGCGGATTTTCAGTGTTTTCAACAGGCCCAACTAGCAGGTTTGACATCTACCTATAGAGCCTTCCTCTCATCACATTTGCAAGATCTGGCCACAGTTGTCAGAAAAACAGACCGATACCATTTGCCAGTAGTCAATCTTAAGGTAAAAATGAGTGCTTAGTATTTGTTATATTAGAATAGGCCGTAAGTGCCCCAAAAATCTTGGAAAGTGACAAAAGCACAAAGTTTCAGCCCAAAAATTTTATAAAGAAGCAGCTTTGCTTCATATTTCACAGTCAGGTTCAAGAAACAAAAAAGCAGTGATGAAATGGAAAACTGCTGAGCTATTATGTTTTACCTTCTGGTATGATCATGGAGTATAGTAGGATAAAATGCCTATTTTTCTCATTTCTAACTAAAATGCAAATTCTATGCTTAGGAATGATGTTGGATTTACCCCAATGAAACAGAGAGGAGAGTCTAGAGCATGAGTCATTTTGTGGTCTCACATAAACAGACACACACTAAAACTGAGGAAAACAAACCATGTCTCTGTAGCATTGGCTGGCTCCCAGGACAAGCGGCCAAAGAAACCTACAGGAATAACACATGATGCTTGGAACGTGTTGAGTGGATGCTACTCTGAAGTGCATACAAATACAGAGCCTTGAGAGAAATTTGTGAAGACAATATTGTTTCAACTTTGACTGGAAAAACTCAAAAGGATTTTGAGAAGTAGCCCAGTGCAAAGCTTTTGTGTTGAGCATTTGCAACACTTTTCACAAAATTGTGACCTTAATAGAAATTCCAGTCCAAGTTATCTCTATATTTTCTCCATATAGCTATATAGTACTTATAAGCAATTTTTCAAGCAATGCCTTAAGAACAAAAGGACAGTGGGTGATCAAGCTGAATTTTTGGAGTGACAATAGAACAGACACAACTGTGAGGCAAAGGCATGGATTGGAGAGCATCTGTTTGCAGAGAGAAGACAGATGAGACAAGTTTTTTCAGGAACATCAAGCAGAAACTGATGAGAAAGCTGGAATCATAGAGTGTCCTTAAATGCAGATAATATTTTTGATTTGTAGATAAGTCTATAAAGGTCAGGTATGACGCAGATTTGGGATTTGTTTTGTTTGTAAAAGTAGCTTTGACATTTTAACAGGGAGAAACCCTTTTCAGTAACTGGGAATCTATATTTGATGGAAATGGTGGACAATTCAACATTCATGTTCCAATATACTCCTTTGACGGGAGGAACATCATGACTGATTCATCTTGGTAAGTTTACATTACCCTTTATCTTTTATATGTTACATATAAGGGTTTTTTCTACTTTTACCAGATAGTAATAGAAATAGTGGCAATATCTTGGACTATTAGAAATGTGATATAAATTTCTTGTTTTCCTTATGCCATTTTTCTTTTCCATTTCTGATAGTCTAGGAATGGGATATTAAGTTGTGTTGTCCTTTCTTTCTCTCCTTTCTGTCTTTACCTAGCCACTATTTGCTTCAAGGAGAAGGAATGCAGAAATACAGGTCACCACATATATAGGCATGCAGTTGAATAAAGCAAAAGAGTCTCTTCCAGGAAATAACATCTTAACGTTACCTTTCAGGCCTCAAAAAGTAATATGGCATGGGTCAACCGCAAATGGGATTCGACTGGTTAGCAACTACTGTGAAGCCTGGCACACAGCTGATATGGGAGCTATGGGACAAGCGTCACCACTGAAGACAGGGAAACTTCTTGATCAGAAAGTGTATAGCTGTAACAATCAGTTTATTGTTCTCTGTATTGAAAACAGTTTTGTGTCTGATCCCCAAGGAAAATAATTCACCTGTTGCACATAGGAATATTCCATTCAATGACAGAAAAAGATGACACTGAAATTTCATTTGTAGCGATGTAAATATTTTAATTTTTGTAATTGCACATTTCAGGAAAAAAAATAGCCAAAGAAAACATACCTCAACACAAACCACATTCCAGTTACGTGAAACATCCAGTGCACATATGGCTGGCTTAAAGCCCTTCCTTCCACTTGAACCCCATGCGGTTCAAGGTTTGCCAGCAGCTAACTCACAGCCCCAAGTCTTTCTGGCTGAGCTGGAGGTCACTTCAGGGCATGAGTCAAGTGTGGTCTATGAGGAAGATCCAGTAGCTGTCTTATAAGCAGTATGGCTCAGCAAGGCTGCTGCTGCTTCAGAGCTGAGAAGCTGCATGCTCCATGCTCTCCTTCTCACTTGCATAGATTTTGAATACCTAAGGCACTGTTCATATATATGCATATATACATACTGTCCCTGAGCAAATACTGGAAGGCTGTTACACTTTACAGGGCTCACATTTTCCAAAAGAAGCTTTGAGAACGAAGGTGCTCACCTCATCTTAGTTTTAGTGGAAGTTGAGTACCTGACTCCTATAAGCTTGTACAGATTGCAGCTAGGTGCTTACACAGAAATTTAGCAGCTTCGACATCTTATTTCAGCTTTTTTCTGTGCAGATTTTAGGCATAGGGCTTTATACAGGAGGAGTGAATTTCACCTAGACAAAATCTGGTCTTTATTTTGGTGCTACTGTTACCAGGAAACCTGAAAGCAATGTTAATAATAATAATAATCCTGTTTTACTGGTAGAACTGTGCAAAGTAAATGCAGACAAATGAACCATCTGACCTTTATTTATTTCATTGTGTATTAGAGGAGTCATTTCCTTTTGTGTCAGACTTCCAAATGAAATATGTCTGTCATGGTTTCTTTAAAGTGGGTTCTACACATTGTTATCCCACTAAATTGTATGTAAAATTATTTTCCTTTTTGTGAATTTTACCCTTCTGGCATTCACATAATTAAAGAATTGTTAATATAAAATAACCGCAACAATGATAGGAATGATCAAGTAATGGTAAGATTCTTCACAAACAGTTTCACCATAATATCTGAAATCTTTTGCTCTTATATTTGTCTACTGCATACTTTAAAAAACATATTTTCTTGTATTTTATCAGAAGTGACTATGGTGGTCAAACTCCATGTTATCATTTTTTTAAGATTTAATCTACAATCTATGTCAGAAATACATGTTCATTTGCTGACAAATAGTGTATTAAATAACTAGACAGCTACCTTCAACGGACAAAAGCAAATCACACTTACAATACTAAACTCATATATAATTATAAAACCAAATATTGTGAAATCCAGCTTTTTTTTTTCCAGTTGATTATAAAAGCTTATTTCCCAGTGTCAGCTGAAAGATATGTTCATTTTTTTCTGGAAAAGCAAAAAGTGTAAATTACTCCATTATTACAACATGGTAATAAGGCAAAAGCCATTTATATTACATTTAAAATGTATGGACAACAATTCATTGCACTTATTTATTGTTCACTTCCCTAAAACACTGAGCACTTTTGTGCAATGCCAGATTCCTTCAGTTCACAGAGTTGGAAGAGTTGTTATATGTACATCAGTCATTTCTGTGACTCTGAGTCACAGAAAGTTCAAGGGGGAAAATAAAGTGCTTTTACCTGCTTCAAGCAGGGACCATCTACTTTTAATCCTTTAATGGCCATCAGTGTTTCTGCTTGCAGCCAGTCATCATCATCATTCCTTGCTTTTCCCCTCCTGAGCTAGAGCAGCCCTCAGGGAGCTGGTTATCTCTTTGCCTAGAATTGCAGTGACAAGAGGTGACAGGGTGATGGGATCACACAGAAGAGCTCCGTGAAGGAGGAGGAGAGAAGACTAATAAAAACACACAGATTTTAGGAGATACTGAACTAGAGTTCAAGTTGGGTCCAGCAAAAGGAGTCCAGAGTTCAATTTGTGCCAGTCCTTTTACAGAGCTAACCCGGGAACTGAAATGGTTAAGTACCATCAATAAGTTGCTAGAGAACTCTCAGTGTTTGCTTCCCACCTCTAACATTAATCTGCAGGCTACAGTAATTGATTGCACACCCTTTAACTGAAGAAAGAGAAGACAAACAAAAAGTTAATAACCATTTGAAAAAGAAATACTGAATTTTTCCTGGAAACATTAATTTATTTATTATGGATACTTTGGGGATGGTGCAAAATGCAGGAATACGTAGTTGATCACTCACTACAGACTTTTTCTAGGTGAAAAGCATTTTTTGTTTTGAAGGTAAATTGGCACATGAATTAAAAATTGACTTTGAATATACTACTCAAAATAGGACTTGGTTAGAATCGAACAACAGTTTTCAGCGGAAACATTATTTTTAATGCAATGTTTACTGGCTTGTATTAAATTTGGCAGCTAACTTTGGTTCAAACAGGAGATATGAACTGTGTCATTTTCAAGAGACATGCATTAAGTCACAACACTTTTTGTTCTAATTTACCTGCTCTTTAATAATCAAAAGGAATTAAGACTCCTTGGTAACAAATGAAAACATTTTTTTCATTGTGTGTTTCACCTCCTCAAAAAAAGTGCAATTACTGCAGCAGATAGCCCCCGATTTAAAAAAAATAATACACAAACCGTACCTGTTATCGTCACTGCTTTATGCAGCCAGAATATAATTCCTGCCAGCAGGGCAAATGTGTACTTACAAGTTGTTACTCTTTAGTATTTTGAAAGCAGTACATCACAATCAGTAATACATCTGTCTGAATTGACTGAACACATCCAATGGACCTTGTGGTATCATTCAATGATTTTTAAAATAATTTTTTGATGTGAAATTGCGAGGGTTGGGATTTTTTTTTTATTCTGAATTTGTAACACATCCTTCCGAATTGTTTAAAAGTTGGTGTGAGAGAATATAGGTTTTAATCTGATTAGGAAAAGGGGGAGGTCATATTGGGTGAAAGCGCAGCAATGTGCATGCATGCACATATAAATGCAGGCACACTTCTGTCCAAATACCTTTTTTCATCCTTGCCTCCTTATATCCCGTGACTGAGATAGTCTTTGACTGCCTCATTATCTATTTTGACCTCGTGCATGGAGGTAAATGTTATATTAGGATGGAGGAATTTCTGATAGTCAGTTTACAAATCTGAGCTCAACAAAAACCTAGCTTCCCCTCGAGTCACTTTCCTACAGTTCTCTTCTTCATGATTGCAAATATTCCCCCACAGGGTCATATTTGTACTGAATTGTGAATACCTTAAAGTCCTGTTCTGTCCCACTGATTTCGTTAGCAATAGGTAATCAGCAGGTCTTTTGCCCTTCTCAGTTGAGGGATCTTTTCTCTGGGCGATGGCAAAACATGTCATGTTACCATTTATCAGTAGTGTGCTGCTCTGCCCAGATGTACCACAGCGAGATGAGTGGTTTCTCCTCTCACTGCTGCTATAAGCAAGCCAAACCTGTGAGTTTCTGCAGTGCAGCATGTAAATCTCAAAGGACTGATAATTAACAAAACTCATCCTGGTGTGACCAAAGGCTGCTTAGCCTTGCCTCAGAGCTGTGCAGTGAAAGAAGAAAGAATGAGTTGCAGTATGTCCTGCCTTGAAGATTCCACAGTTCCTCTTCTTTTGTGCTGAAATTTAGGTGTTACTTGCAATTCTCAGTACTCTCCTGGAGAAGAGAACCTGTCTTCTAGATTTTAAAGGAATTAGATGCTAGAATTGCCGTTTCGTTTTGGTGTTCAAGTATTGGAGTTAATGGTATGCATGCATCTTAAAAAACATCTCATTGGGGTTTGGCTGTTATTTGTTGGTTTAATATGTAGTCAGAACCTGCACTCTAACTGATCCTCCCTGCTGTCTCTCCTTAATGCATCAACACTAGCTGTCCAGATATAAAAATATTTCTAGATTAGCATCTACTTAAGTACTTTGCTACTGTAACCTGAACCTAGCCTCCCTTTTTTAACCTGTCAGAGGACTGTTATTTGCTGCATCTTAAAAGGCCTAGTTTGTACCTTGGTACATCTTCCACTGTTACCTGTCAATCTAAACTTTATACTTACCAGATTCTCTTCCATTGTGTCTGTAATAAACAAACAAACAAACAAACAAACAAACAAAAAACAACCAACAAAGCCTACTAATTCTACTCCTAATTAATGGCCATATGTACATACAATCTAACGTGGAGGTGCACCCAGAGCTCCAGCAGTTCATCTCCAGCAGTATTAGGCTTTGCCTGCAGAAGAGGGAAAAAAAGTCAGAACATCTCCTCGTCCTGTGTGGGCAAGAGAGGGTAATAGAATTACAGACAATACAGACTGTGGGAATTTCTACATTGAGCTGATTTGCCTGGGGTAGAGTTAATTTTCTTCACAGTAGCAGGTATGGGGCTGTGTTTTGGCTGTGTGCTGAAAACAGTGCTGTTAACACAGGCATGTTTTCATTATTGCTGAGCAGTGCTTACACAACACCAAGGATTTTTCTGCCTCTGACCCCGCCACACCAGCGAGGAGACTGGGGGTGCACAAGCAGTTGAGAGTGGAAGCAGCTAGGATGGCTGACCCCAACTAACCTAATGGATATCCCATACTATATGGCATCATGCTCAGCATAAAAAGCTGGGGGAAGAAGGGGGGAAGGGGGAATATTTGGAGGGATGGTGTTTGTCTTCCCAAGTCACAGTTCTGCACGAGGGAACCCTGCTGTCCTGGAGATGGCTGAACAATGCCTGCCAATGAGAAGCAGTGAATTAATTCCTTGTTTTGCTTTGTTTGCATGCATGGCTTTTGCTTTACCTTTTAAACTCAGCTCATGACTCTCCCCCATACCACCCCGAGGGAAGTGATCCAGCAGCTGTGTGGGGGCTTAGTTGCCAGCCTATGTTAAGCCACGACATACGTCTGAGTCAGTTCAGCATCACACCCTGGTGTTGATCAGAGGTAGCATTATAACCTTTCCCCTCTGGTCTCAGGGGTACTAGTGACGCTTCTGCAGAAAAGGGAGTGACAGCCCTGTTTAACCTTATATAAGAATTAACTAAAATCACCAGCGAATTCAAATTCAGACCAGGATTATGATGACAGTGCCTCTGCAGGAAGGGTAGGTTTTGTACACTGCACTTGGAATATGTTCACATGATTAACAGCATAATAGCTGTGTTTTCCACTGAGCAGTACCAATACCACCTCATAGGAATTTTGTTTGACCTTCTTTTTTTCGAGATACATCCACCAAGATCCCAGCCATAGTAATGGCTTGCTACTGGAAAAACATTATCTCCCCACGTATTTGGAGGATTAGTTGGTTTTAACCTCCAAAAAATATTTCACTGGTGGTTAGCTTTGCTCTACAGTTATGTATTTTAACTTTGCAGTCTTCAAGGTTTCAGTTATAGAGTCACAGAATATGCTGAGTTGGAAGGGACCCATCAGGATCATCAAGTCCAACCCTTAGCCCTGCACAGAACCATCCCCAAGAGTCACACCATGTGCCTGAGAGTATTGTCCAAATAGTTCTTGAACTCTATGAGGCTTGGTGATGTGACCACTTCCCTGGGGAGCCTGTTCCAGTCCTCAAGCACCCTCTGGGTGAAAAACCTTTTCCTGATATCTAACTTAACCCTCCCCTGACTCAGCTTCATGCCGTTTCCTCAAATCCTGTCACTGGTCACCAGAGAAAAGAGATCAGTTCCTATCCCTCAGCTTCCCCTCATAAGGATGTTGAAGACTGCAATGAGGTCTCCTCTCAGTCTCCTTTTCTCCAGGCTGCACAAAAGAAGTCTCTAGGGCTTAGGAAGTCCCTAG